CAGCATTGCAGTCAGGTGAAATGGAAGCTATTATGGTGCTATGAGAGTACCTGCAGGACAGCTGGGCTCTGGAGTGTCACGAGACAGAGGCTCTGCAGCACCAATATTGTGACTGTGCATCTGAATACCAACTGACAGTCTGGAAAGGAAAAAAGCAAATGTCTTTTCAGAACAGGCAGCCTATTAAACAGTGTATCAGCAGTCACTTTTTGTTGATATATTTGAGTATAGTGAATGTGCCAGAGTACCAAAACATTGAATTTTAGACCTGGTTTTTAAAGTAGCTCAGGGGGTCTCTTTTCTTCCATCTTCTCTTTTCTTTATGGCTACTTAGATGGGGAAGTGGCACAAAAATAACACTTGCAGTTAAGAATGAAATTCAACTTCAGCTACACATAAAGAGCACGGTATACATGAAAATTACAGCAATTGGTCTTTGTACATTGTGAGTTTTCTAAGAACTAAAGAGAGATTAGTTTTCATGTTAAGATTACATTTACACCATGGTAGGTGTTTTTGGATTTTTTTTTCACCACCAATGATATAATTACCACCCTTCTTCTAAGAGTCCTTCAGTTAAACTCACTGAAATCTAAGGCATCCCACTTACATGTATTCTGTGCACGTCTGCATCTTGGATCCCGGCAAAACCCAGGCCGTGGTTGATTCCTAACAGTTCTGGTGTCTGAGCCCCAAAACCAAAGTTTAAACATTTGAGCTGTGTGTATGGGATTGCTCAGAGCTTCGTTTTGTGTTTGCTTTACACAAGCCAGCTAAAGGAAAGAATTTAGGTGAGATCACATCTCTCTCTAGCTTCACACTGTATAAGATACACAGCAGACTTGTTTGACACACAAAAAACTGTCAGGTAGCAGTGGTGGGTGAGGGGGTGCTGGTTAATCTTCCTACCTCACATCAACTACTGTAAATTATTATGCTGCAGCCTAGCAGCCTGGACACTGACTAGGCCCCATCCTTTCCAATGCTGCTATTGGGGGCATAAAGCATTTTGAGTAACAAGGTAATGAGCCTTAATGAGGTGAGAACAGCTGAGTGCACAGTTCCTGAACAAATTAGCCCTATGTGCAATTCAGCTGAAGCGGTACCTTTAATATTGAAATCAATGGGTTTTGCCAAAGGGTTACAGCTATTTACATGATTTAAATGGCTGCCCATCTTATGTTACCCTCAGGCATCTTAAGTGGCTTATACTGTTCTTATTACCTGAACAGGAATATAATAATATCTCAACAGCCATATTCCCTTAGCTCAATGCTTTACTAAGGCACAGTGACTGCCAGTAAAAGGCTGTACAAGTGGAGAGAAAATTTGTTCCTTGTCGCTGTATGTGAAATGCTCTCACATGGTAGAACTGGTCTCATGTCCAAGAAACCAATGAAATGAAACTCATGGAAATGTTTGAAGTATTTATTGTTGCTGTAGAGTAAATAAGTGACATGTGGATAAAACATTCTAACATATCGGTGGACTTTGAAAACTAAGGCTATTCTGTGGATTTGTCAGATCCTGGTGTCTGTTTTCATACAATGCATTTATAAAACAAAGCTATAAAAACACCTATTTTTTAAACAATTGAGATTGATAGTATGCACAGAACTAGAGACTACATTTAGTATGATCAACACAACAATCTTACAGACCAGCATTTGCTTCCCACATTACTAACATTCAAAACAACGAAGAAAAATGCTTCAGTCTGATGCACTGTTATCTCAAATGACTTTGATGACAAGTAGAGACCAAGCACGAGTTCAACCTTCTTTTCTGAGCAAAGAGAAAGAGACCCATTATCCTGATCAGGAAACATTTGAATAAGGAAAATGAATGGTACCCTTAAACGCAAGAAGAGTGTGCCATCCTTCTCAAGAAACAAGTGAGATCTAACAGACACATTGGCCCCATAGCGCGAGTGCAGAATGCACCAGGGCATGGCCACTGGGACTAGAGAGAATGGTAGTTCTCAGAATTCATGCTAAGAAAGTGAGAGGTCTCCTGGTGCCAATATGCTTCCATGAAAGATCAGTGCACTTGATTTCCAGAGGTCCAAAGCCTTCTAATTCAGTAGCACTGGAAACATTTCAAAGGGAAAGGATGTTAAAACAGAGCGGTCTGGCACTTTTTAATATGTGTAGTTTGAATCAACTAAACAAGGTGAATGAAAACAAAACAGCCTCCTAGTGGCCTGAATGCTAGGGCTAGTTGGATAAGAACCAAAAGGGAAAGTGAATATAATCACAAGTTTTCCCCACTTCCCAGCTAGTTTTATTCAGCAATGTGGCTCCTGAATTTCACCAAGATTATTTTTCTTTATTCAAATGTTAATATTTTTTCCCCCTTGTGTTTATAAGGAGTCTGGAAATGGAGGTGGATTTTTGGATAAACTCCATGTTTGTGCATCAGCCTCAATAATATTAGCTTTGCTTATAGGAAAAGGGTTTTATTCACTTCACTTGTGCTGCCCTTCATCGCTAGGGCAAGCTATCCTAACATGTAGCATTTATAGCTCACAAGACAACAAAATGATGACTATATACATATTTTTATTTCTGTGAATGCGAGAGGAGTGAATTACAAATTTGCTGGATGTTTCCCACATTAAGGTATGTAAGAAATTTGGCCTCACTGAGATAGAAAGCTCCCCGTGACAGGTCAGCTCTTGGTTTGAGGTTCAGTTTTAAAACCGTTTAGAGATCTCATAGCAACAAAATACAGACTTAAAAAAATACAGTAGAAATTTGCACTTTAGAAATGACCAAAGTCTCCAACTTTGATCCCTGACACACTTTATGACACCATAGTTTGCTTTAGGACAGAACAGAACGCAGATGGTGTGCGTGCTGGTGATGTGAAGGCTTGACCTCTGCAGTATTTGCTCAGCATCTAGGTTGGGGCTGTTGGAGGAGGCTAGCCTTTGATACTACAGGCATCTGTAGAACCCAAGCCTTGAACAGACCCACTTTGAAAGGTAGACACAAATGAGGCTTGTTTCTGTCTTACTGCAGGAGCTGAGACAGCTGGGATTGCCGGAAGTTCAAGCAAGAAGGAACGCTATCATATGGAAAATGCGCTATGTAAATTTGAACAACTGCCTTCATATCATAGGCCATTTAAAATGCCTCCCCAGTGAAAAAAGACCATCCTTTTCTGCTGTACTTGTGACAATGCAGTATCAGTTGTCAAGCTATTTATGCATGTACGTCTAAATATAATGTGAGGAAGTTTGTTAAGAGACTCGTGCCTAAATTAGATGCCGTTTTACTAAAGAAATAAAGGTTTAAAAAAAATTCCTGAAGTACAACAGATGGCTTCAAGTACTTATGCATAATAACTAATTAGTCATTGTGAGCAGGGATTAAAAAACAGCTGTCACCTTGTAAGGGGCAGTTAAATATAGGTCAATGATTTCATCCAACAGTGACCTGAGATTCAAAAGCATCAGATAACCATGCTTAATGCTCACATTCAAAAGAGAACCAGTTTGTCTGCAGTGCTGAGCCCAGTGTTCTAGAGGTGCAAAATAATACACAGTAAAGTCTTCAGTCTGCAAATTTACACTTCACAGTAATATAACTCATCATATGGAGTTAGATCACCCCAGCATAGCACGGGTACCTTCCAAAGCCTTTTGGGGAGCAGATCAGAAGTCCAGAAGAAATAAGGGATGGTCTGTGGCTGTGCAGTAGGCCATCTTTGAGGCTAAATGCCAAAGGCAAGCTGAGGCGTTTGCTAAGTGCCAAGGGTGTTCATTCCATAGTCTCCATAATCTGGAACATCAATTTCTACTATATGATGACGATTGTGTGACATTATCAGAAAAAAAAAGTGTTCTTTGTCTGTAAAGGTTTGAAAAGATCAATATTCCCTTGGTTTATCTGGCTTTTCACCAATTTCATATGAGGGACATGCTTTTCAATGCAGGACTCCAACAAAGGACTGGCCTCTGAGAAAAAGGAAAGCCAAGGAGCATACTAGTCTTTGTGTAGGGAAATTATGTTTCCTGTGTCGTGATAGGTTCAAATATTTATTTTGCCATAACTGTGCACAACCAATCATGGCCCTGGTTGAGTTTTAGCAGGTCTGAGTTGTAAACTAAGAAAAAAAAAGTTTTCCTACTGTAAACACTGATGGTGTCTTTACACCGGGGTGCTTCAGGGGTGGGGATAGAGGGAGGGCACTTTAATTGGAGTGGCTCTGTCATGTATTTGGCATCCTGCTCTGCAAAATGGTGGTGGGGGTGCTTTAACTAAAGCTTGTTTGACAACATTTGTTTAAAGTGCCCCCGCTGCTATTTTGAAGTATGAGGATGCTGAATACAAGAGATGCGAGGGCTGTTGGAGCGTGCTAACTGGCACGTTCCAGTGGACTCTATTGAGTCTGTTCCAACGCACTGTAATTATAGCATGTTGGAGCAGTGCCCCTGCATGTCTACAGGCATCCTGAAGTTTTAAATGACTCAGAAAGCACTTTAAAAAACAGAGAAGCAGCTTCAAGGAGTGGACATTTTTTCACTGTCTCTTTAAAATAAAGGATATTTTCAGATTAGTTACTTCTACAGAAAGAAGTCAATACTTGCTAGCTACCTAACAAACAACTGGTTGGTTTTGTTTTAGGGGAACAAATGCAGCTAAGTAGCAGGTGCAAGTCTCCCATAGGGTACAGGTGTTATGTAACTGATAGCTGAATAGCAAGGCGGGGGTGGGAGACGGTTGGTGGTGGGAGCTGGGGTAGAGGGGAAAAAGCTGGCAGAATAGCTCTTGGAAATATTCAATTAAGACTCATGTTGCGTTGGAGCAGACGGCCCCGCCTATACAACAACATCAGACATTAAGGTTAAAATTTCCATCTAATTTCTTATTCATGGAGCCAGCCAGTCAACAGCCAGGAAAATCTGCGAGAAAGAAGTTTAAAACAAATACAAAAATATTAGAAATACTGGGGAAGGAAGGGAGAGGGGATTTGAATTTTAAATTTGGTGATTATTTTATGCCAAGGTGAGTGTATGGGAGTCACAGATCTGTCTCTCTCAGCTGGACATTGTGTACTTGCACATTTGAAAAGTTCAGGGTGCATCACATTTACTAATTTCTTAATGATTGTTCAATAATCCAGCATGTTATTTCATAACTACAGTATGCTGCAATTGCTAACTGCTTGCAAGAGCAATACTGATATTACATTCAAAGATAAAAACTATCGTTTTCACAGGTAGCAAGAACTAATATTTCTCTTTCTTTTCCACGGAACAAGTGCAAAATATCTTTAGTAATAATGGTAGTAAGAAAAGACTGAGTGTTATCATGCAAAAAATGTGTCCCTGTACAAAGTCTGCGGCACATCTCAAAAACATCAGTTATCTCCCCTTGCTCCCTGCTGAACAACCTTCTATTCTGTCTTCCCACTGTACAAATTTTGTCGTTTATTAACATATCGATGACACACAAGCTCAATTAATTCTAGCCCTCCAAATATTTTCTGTTGCATGGCAAAAATGATGACCATGATCAAAAGATACCATCGCACAAAGCTGTACAAGTACAGCAGCACAAACATAGCAAGTGTGAAGACTGTCCAGTACAAGAGCGAAATGCACTTAACAACTAGGACCCTGAGTTCAGATTTACATGGTGGAATTATGCTTCGCCCCGTTGCATCAAAGTACTTTTCACCTTCGTAGAACTGCCGGAGTCTCTCCTCTTTCTCTTCCCAACGCTTCTGGCACCAGACCTGAAGCTCTTCCCTGGAAGTGGGCACAGTGTGTACTGGATATCTGCGGACATGAAAATGAATCTCCCTTGGGAAGTTTCCATTCAAAATGTGCTTCTCCGTTTGAGGAATGTTTTGAGGGTATGCCACAGTGATATCATGGATAGCATCAAGGTTATTACCTAGAAGAAACATTTTTGAGAAGATAAATACAGACAACAGGATAATCAGTTTTCATGACAATTAATAATGATTAGCTTAAGGCTACAATTAAAAGCTGTCAAAATCATAGTTGAATTCACAAATGTTTAATAGCAGATATTGACTATCCTACTTATATAATGTTTAAAGGCCAGCAGGTCAATATTTCCTAATCATTTTCTGTATCTGGATTATAGCTAAGTCCCCAAGGGACAAAATGACATTCATTTACAGAAACACTAATCCAGAATTCGCAAACAGGATGGGTAAAAGGATAATGTTAAATTTCATTTCAAGAAGAGATTAGTATAGGTGTGCCTGGTCTTTGCTTCAAGTAAACATAAGGTTCCGGTCACTTTATTTTCATATCCTTCTGTAAACTGTTTCTTACTGCATTGGAAACTGCAGTTCCCTTTCACCTACTAACTACGGCACTTTTTGCAAAATGGACTGTAATGGGCATACAAAAAGAAATCTGGTTTAAAATTTGATTCAGATATGTATCAAAAAATGCATTCGAATTTACTGATGGGCTAGGAAAAAAAGAGAAGAGACAAAAACCCCAGAAAACTAAATCAGGGAAGTCTTCATTTGATAGAAGATGGTGAACAGCTTCACTGATCAGCCAGGCTGGGAAACAGAGCGGTCAAATTAACACTCCTCTTTAAATAGAACTATCTGGTGTTTCAAATGCCAGTCATTAGTGGCCTTTGCATGAGGCTTATGGTTCTTCAGTACATTCTAGGTCTGGAGAACTAGAAGCGATGTGCAAAAAAGGAGAATGTTATGTTTGGGTACAGCTAAGTACATGATTTGAACCTGTCAATCTAATCTAAAAACAACTTTAGATTAGACATTATAGAGGGGTGTTGACAAAAGGACTCTGCTGTTCTATCATTATGCCTGACCGAGCCAATCTACGTGTTAGAACATAAATGTTGCTAAAATAAGTTTTATCATAGTGTCTGTGCATTAATATTAATTTCAGGAAGATGCACTCTTCTGAACATCCCCTCTCCCAGGGCTGGCCAGATGACATTCTTTTCACATTTCATAAAGCTAACTCTGCTAGTTTAAAAATTATCTAAAAATAGTTGTATTGCACACCAATGTAACATTAAATGTTATGATCTGCCAGCCCTATGCTATGATTAATTTTGTGTTACTATTCTGATTTGGTTGGTCATCTCAAAGCAGAAAAGGGTGAGTTAAAGACTAAATAGATTTAACTTGTCTATAGGGTGAAGCAACTGAAGGCAGTTTCCACCAAAAGGGATTTCATTTCTTAGGTGAAATCACTGCATGGAGACACCAATTTACTGGTCCCAAGATTATCCCCAACTCTGCACTGCTGCCCCACATCTCTAAACATGACATAAGCGGAGTGGGAAATGTTACTTTAAAAGCCAGTGTTCAAAGTAACATAGCCAAAGTTCAACTCCAAATACCCTGAGGTTAATATTTACTCTGCTTTTGAGAGTTCAGTCTGTACTTGTCACCTTGCCCCTTGTTGGCATCAGTTTGGCTTCCTGAACACAGTCACTTAGGAACAAATTTCCTCTTGGATTAATTACCTCTAAACCCTGCTTAATAGTGTTCCCTCTCACTCATGTAACCCTTAATCCTCTCCTGTTAACTTGTCAGGTGGTGTGTAGCCAGCTGGAAAAACCTTTGGCCACTGTTTACTGCATGGTTTGCATGAATGTCTAGCAGCCAATATTGTAATGTAGGCAGCATTTCTTAATTTTATCATTTAAGCTGGCATGCTCCGATTGACACGTACAGTAATAATGCACGTTACTAGAAATGGTTGTAGAAACTGTATGGCTCTGTCCCTGGACACTAAACAGTTGCTCAATCACTCATTAGAGCAATGTTATGTATTTGGGCCAATTTGTTCATGTGCCACAAGGGTCTGTGAGGCTCTTGCCATAAATTGCTCAGATACAGACGCTGGTGAGATACAGATTAGACTGCATTTGACCACTGTGCAATATTATCATTTTCTCCCATAAAGTGCTGTGCCACATATAACTTAGGCCAGGGGTTGGCAACTTACACAGCCTGTGAGCCAGATCTGGCTCAGGAAAGTTCCACCTGGCCTGGGGCAGCACAGAGGATCAGGCACAACACAGCTGTGGCATGTCCCGCATCCCGTCTACAGCACCCTCCTGCTGCTCTCTTGTGCCTGCACTGACCCTCACTGTACTGAGGCCAGATACCTATTCTCCCAGTGCAGCTAAAGTTTGCCAATCACTGATTTAGATCACTGAAGAATTGCACAGGATTCCCAAGGGCTTGCTGAACAGGTTTTGTAGAGCTGTAGAGTCTGATCGCATTGAGATGGGGAATTGTCGCATTCTATACTAGTAGAAGCTTTCAAAATTCCTTTTAAGAGAGCCACAAGTAGAGTGTATCAGAGTAATGCAGCCTTTAAGAATGAACTGTGGCCAGGCCAGTTTCATGCTTTTAAGTCTCCACCCTTGCAGAAGAACCAGATTTTTTTCTCTGCCTCTTTCTAACATGTAGTTAACCAAAGACTGCGGCGCTGGTGTCATCGGGAAGGCTCTGGCTTCCATGACCACAGCCCGCTCTTTGGCGAGAGAGGCAGCAAGCTGCTGGGAAGAGATGGCCTCCATCTCTCTCCCCTGGGGAGGAGGCTCTTCTCAGCCAGACTGGCTGACCTGCTCCACCAGGCTTTAAACTAAATTCGCAGGGGGACGGGGGCACTACCGCCACTGCTGGCCCGCTGAGTAACCCTTGCAAAGCCAG